CTACAACTTGACACATCCCTCTACGAGGAGCAAAGAAATTTTAGCTTGCTTATGGTTCGAACCAACCCACTCTAGGGAGTAAGGATGTATCATAACAAGAAACAATTGCACTTAATTTTTTTTTAATCAGAACACCCTCTATAAAAGGGTGATCTATACCATTTATGGACGGTTATGATTTTTCTATTTACCATATTGATCATTCCACTGGTATAGCCATGACTCGTATCGCCATGACTTCTCGCATTCAAATCGGGTAAATCGGAGTGAACGGGTAGAATTGATCCAGCCCGACCCGATCGCCACCCCTTACCTTCCCTCTCCCTCTGGCCACTCTTTTTTATCCACAGATCGAGCAAGAAAAGCAAGGCACCATGGCGTCGCGCTTTGCTCCTCCCTCTCCTTTCTCTCTCTAATTAAAACCCTAGCGCTCTCTCTCTCTCTCTCTCTCTACTGCAATTTCTTTAAGAGGCAATGGCTACTCTCTCTCCTCTCTCCATTCCAACCATTTCCTCCCGTGGCCCTCGCCTCCGTTCTTCTCCCAAACCAGCCTCCTTTGTCGACGGGGTGACTCTAGATTCTCCGCTTTCTTTGATTTAACTTTTTTTTCCCGTCTTTTTTTTAAATTTTTTTTCTTGGCTAATTACAGAGGCAGTTTCAAGTTCTGAGGAAGAATCGGTTTTTGATCAGGAGCTCATTCAGGTATGTATGCATACACAGTTTCTTAGTCTTACGTTCATAATTGTTTATAAAAATAAAAAGAAAATGTTATTCTTTTTTGATAATGGAGCTATAGTAGTGGAAATTTTGTATTGCAAACAAAAATGAATTTTTTGAATATGCAGTCTGTGATAAGGTAATTTACTTAGGTATGTATTGCAGGAAAAAAAAATATTTCAAGGCTTAGATGTGAATTGATTTTTTTAGAACAAATCCTGATATTTTGCGTTGAGGGAATTTGATGTTAATTGATTCGAATTACATTTCCAATGGGTTTCAATTCAAGATGGACTTCTCGTTTGTTTATGGTGAAAATTCTTTGTGTTATTTTATTAGTTTTTTGATGGGAGAAGTTTGGATAATTAAGCCAAAAATACCATTGCAACTCAAATCCTGCACTTCTATATCACCTTTAAAGAATTAAAACAAGCCCTGAAGCTGCAATTTTTTTTTGGGGGGTTAATATGGCTATCGGGAAAGGAATAATGCTTTATAAGGGAATGCTTGGGCAAGTTGAATGTTTCAGTTTTGAGGTCACGCAACAGAGGAGGGAGGAGGATAAGAACAGGGAAGTGGGCTAAGGGGAGAGCAACATTGGTGTACAATTTAATGCGAAGAGCACATTTAAGTGTGGAAATTTGGCCTTACTTCTGAATAAATTAAGCTTCATGAGTTAAATCTTCATCTCATATTTTCAAACGACCATGCTTTATAACATAGCATAACAAGCTTTTAGTGTGATGGTTTATCATTGTCCAGGAGTCTACAGCATCAAAATTTTTGATTTTTGATTTGGCAGCTGTCTAAGTTAACCGATTTGTCTGGATATAAACTGTATGCCATGTCACAGAATTACAAAAAAAAGAAAAAAAGAAAAATGGTGTGGCTTATCATGCACTAAGATCAATAGAAGTTAGCAATAATCATATAGGTGCATATTAGCAGTATGATTCTTCAAGTCACTATGCTAATGAATGTGACTAAATTCTGTAGAGCTGCTGGAAGTTGTGATCAAGTGACAGGGTTTAACTGGATGGCTGAGAACACGAGACATAAAGACGCATAAAACTGCAATTTAATTGGATAATTGATATGACATATCTTGTAGCATCTCAGTGCAATCAGTTATCGTGGAATCTGGTGACTTAGGCATGAGGCTAGTCAAGTAGAAAATACCTAGGTACCAGTGGTATTGTTTCAGGCAGTTGGAATATCAATGTGATATCGGTAGCAGATTACAGAAGGCTGAGCTGTGGTAGATAGAGAAGAAGATTGGGGAAGAGGGAAAAAGTTAACAAGTGTCCCCCACCTTCAAAGTTACTGAAAGCGCTAGGCGGCCTAGGCACTGAAACCGAAACCTAGATCTTCGGTGGTAGCCCAAGCTATATTTGTATTTTTTTAGTTACAATAATTCATAATAAATGTCATTGTTTTAGAACTGCTAGGCTCCTAGGTGTAGGTGGATTTTTAAGTGGTGGTGGATGAGGTTTTACTGAAGGTTGGAGGAGGTGGAGAGGGTGGTCATAGTTGGTGGAGGAGGCCGGCGGAGTTCAGAGGAGGTTAGAAGACATGGATAAGGCTGTCCAAACGGTCCGGCCCGACCTGACAAACCGGGCTTGGGCCAGGCAAACCCAGGGCCCGGACCCGGACCCGGTTGGCCCAGGTTGACCCAATTTTTTTCCTTTTTTTTTTCAAGAGTACATAGCAAAAAATTAAACGAAATTTTGATAAAAAATAATCATATTATTAATCACTTGTAATTATATAATTTACAAATACAAAAATTCATAGAAATTAAAATAATAAAAATATTTTTTTAATAATAATCAGTTAATCACTAATAATTATAAATTTATTTTGGAATTCATCGCATCACAATAGATGAATACATTCCAACTAGGTTGACATCTACTCATCTATATTACTATCATTTGTAACTTTTTCTAAAATAATTTATCACAAATTTTTTTAGCTAAGAAAATAAAAATTACAAACTGATAAAAAATCTCTACTCTTTATCTCTATCTGCTAGTCTCAACTCTTCAAATTTATCTTTACTACTAGCCATCTGATCGATGCCTTGAGTTCTCTTCTCGTACCTCCACCAATCTTGTAAGCACATTACCGCCTATACGGTATACAGATCTAATAATGTCCTGTGGTCGTCGATCAAACGTTCTGCTATACTGAAGGCAGATTTTGAAGCTACCGTGAAAACCTACACTGTTAGTAAGTCACGAGCCATGATGAAAAGTATAAGATGTGAAACTGTTCCATATACTTTTCACCATTGTAAAATATCAAAACTATTATTTTGACATTTAACTAAAGATGCAGTTAAATATTATTTAATTTCAAAAAATTTCATTGATGATCTAGATCCACCAGTTAGCTGAGCTATCATTAATTCTCTATCAAAACTCATACATTTGTTCTGACTTGAACTCGTAGAAGCAGAAGCTGTAGACTGGTGTGTACTTACACCATATCTAGCTGCATACTCATCATATAATCTTTGAAAATAAATTCTAATAGTATTATGATGAGTAAGAGCAGTAATAGTTTGACCATCATCAGTGTCTATTATCATGTTACCATACAAAGAATTTAACAAACTTCGAAGATCAATATCCTTTAAACATGGGTCAATAAGAATCTCCAAACCAAAAATAATAGAAATAAGCCTAAAATACTTATTAAATTTACTTTCCATTTAAAAAATCATATTTCCAAAATAATTATCCATACAATAGTTATTAATTTTTTAAATATTTAAAACTTGTAAGTAGCTTGAATAATAGTTGGATAATAACAACCAGATAATAACATAGTAGTATCATAAAAAACTTGTAACATCTCTTTTACACTATATATAATTGACCATTTATCCTCAGTTATTCCATACATATTATCAGAACTAGAACTAGAAGTATAGAAAGGAATAAAATCATTTATAATTTTTTATACTCTATTGCTACATTTAACATTGCATAGGTAGAATTCCACCTTGATCAACATCTTTTAGAATTAGTCTGGGTTTAAAATTTTTTCTTTTACACAATTGTTTTTATCTTTTAGGTCTTTATTCAGAAGCATTATGAGCATAAGCTACTGTCCTAACCTTTTCTATCATAAATTTAATTTTACTAAATGCACTTTGAACAATTAAATTTAAAATATAACACATACATCTAATATGAAAAATATCACAATGATATGACAATAACAAAGATGATTTGATATGATCAACAATTACATTATTATTACTTGTATTATCTAGTGAAAGTGAAAATATTTTTTTAAAAATTTCTAATTTAATAAGTTCTTTAATTATTAAATTTGTAATATTAATACCATTATGTGAATCTTCATATGCAATAAAAGAAATAATTCTTTTAAATATTTATCAATTATCATTAATCTAGTGTGCTGTGATACATAAGTAAACAGTTTGTGTTCTAGATGTCCAAATATCAGAAGTTAAAGAAAATTTACAGTTTAAACTTTAAAAATAAAAAATTATTTTTGCTTGTTCCTCGTGATAATATTTTAAAATATCACATTGACAAGATTGATGAGAATTTTTTTAAATGCGGGATAAAAACCATCTGTAAACATACCTTCAAATTCATCATCTTCTACTAATTTAAAAAGAAGGTTTTTAAGAATAATAAACCTGATGACGCATTTCCTGACTCGGATTGCGTAATAGTTCCAACTATCGAGACTACATGAAGATGAGGATTGAGAGAGTAAAGATTGTCGGATATCACATTGAGGCGTTGCCTGACCTTTGTTGTGTTTCTCTAAATGGCGTTTGAGGTGGTTGATGTCACATTATGATGAGCTTGGAAAATATGGCCGCACAACGCACACTTAGTTTTCTGGGTGAGAAGCCTATCATGTTAATCTCTGGTGACTTCTATCTTCTCGAAGAAGTTTCACACATCGGATCTCGACATTTTAGGAGCTCTTGGAGCAGAATCATCGCCACCGGATTCGTGATCAACATTGATAGGAGTAGGAGTAGTAGCTGTAACTCCTGTAGTAGGAGTATTAGGACTCATTTTAAAACGGGAGTTATGATTTGTCATTCATAATCAGAGGAGGAAGCCATTTGATTGAAGAATTAGAGAGCAAAAGCGAGTATTAGAGAGAAGTAGATAAGTTTTGGATGAGAAAAATAAATGAAAACCTTCTCTATTTATAGAAGCAACACCCTAGACAAATGACCAAAATACCCTTAAAATTTGATCGTTTTTAGGGGTATTTTGGTCAAAAAATAAAAATTAGTCGTTATGACCGTTCGGATCAGGCCGACCCGGCCCGGCCACAACGGTCACGAATTTGATTATTGTGGTCGGGCCGGGCCAAGCTCAGTGCGGGCTTCGACGAAGCGGCCCGGGCCCAGAGCCTGGTTAGGCCCGGGTTTTCGGGCCATGCTCGGGCCCGGATCGGGCTTGAGCCTGGACGAGTCCGGACCTTGGGCCCAAAGGACAGCCCTAGACATGGAGGCTACTACAAAAGAAATCTCGACCAAGACTGAAGCAGCGCAGTCCACATAAGTGGCCCATCCTCCCCTTGGTGCTCCCAAGATGAAGGTGGGCGGCCTAGGTACTGCCTAGGCTGAGGCGGGCTTGGCGCTTTCTTTTTAGAACATTGCGCATGTTGACACGTTTACATAATAACTTATAGTTTCATCATACCCTGCCATTTCCTTGATTATTAAACCTCTAAAGGCAATCCCAGAAGAAACAAAAAAACCATAAAATAAACCTGATTACCCTCTTTTGCTCCACCCACCCACCCATCCAAAAAAGAACATTAATTCTTAATTTTTTTTCCATAAAGATACATATCATCTTTGTTTTGAGTTTTGAGTTGAGTGAAAATTTAGTTGAAATGGTCCATGAGGATTAAATCCTAGAAACTGACAAATACCCACAAAACCCCTACCAATTCCAATAAACACCTTAAGAAAATCCTACTGGAAATTTCCAATGTTCTCCTCGTACTCGTAGTATTCAAGCAGATTGGAGAAGAAAAATCTCCCATTCTACTGTAGATCAATTTTGATTATTTAGGTCTGAGTAAGATGAGGGAACCAATGAGGCGAAGTTTTTAAATGTGTCATAAAGAACGGCCTTCTAAAGCGCCAAGGCCTTCTGTCTTCTGGATATTTGGTTGGTTGTTGGTGAGCAGTTTGTTATAAAGGGCATGAGAAGTGTAGAGATGGTCATGGATGCACATTGGATCATAAGCTTAACATTTGCTTATGACTACTCCACAAGAATCCAGAGGTTCATATGGGTACTTAGTGAGTAAACATCGTGGTTTGATATTTCTTAATATTGGTAGCATTATCTATGTTTATAAGTATGAGAAAAGGGAAAGAATTGCTTTATTACGAGACACAATGATGCATTTTAATTTCAGCGCTGTATTTTATGTTGAGATCAATCAATACAGAATGTTTAATTTGGACTAGTATCGCTCTGGTTCTCCAATGAAACTATTATCATTGTATGCATAGTGTACTTCCATGTTACTTCTAGTTTCTTAAGTTAAAAGGCTTAAGAGTTTGTGCTATTAGTTTCACATGTTTTATGCAGTTGACATATCTTAGAGTTGGCAAGTTTTTGAGAAGAGAAGCACAAATTAGTGACAAACCTGATATCCTTGTATTCACTTAGAAATTCGGGATGTGTGTAATCATTTTGTTAGTGGTATCTTTCTGTCTCTTAATATGTGCACCAAAAAGGAAGCAATTTGTAGACAATCATAGCTTTCTGACTCTACATGGTATGTTTGTGCATCCTAATGTGCAACTCAGTTTCAGTTATCTTTTTTCTCTCTTAATTTAATCTTATGCACATCATATTCTGCTGCCGTGGAGGAAGGCAGATTTTGGAAGGGGAATCAGAAGCTGAAAGCTTGAAATACAAGACTCGAGAAGGTAAGA